AAATCCAGCCAACGCAGCGCGCCGAGCCTCCTTGCTAACCTCCTGCAGAGATGGGCCCGCTGCGAAAAGTCCCCCTGTAACCCTGCTTTGTGTCTTTGCGAAGAAGGCTCCGCAGGCGGCGCTGCTGGCCGTCTCCAGCGGCTTCCACGGACGCGGCCCCTCGTATTTCCAATAAACGAGCATAGTTTTGAATCGGGACCTGTCGCCTCTGTCGGCACCCGAGACGACGTGGGCAGCCAAGGCGACGACGTCCACGACGTCCGCTACCGAGCAGACAACGGAGCAGCAGATGGGGCGAAGTTCTTGCTCGTCGTCAGAGTAATAACATTCGCCCCTGGGCCGACCTCCCATGGCCCATCTCTCGCTAGGGGGCGCCGCCGGCGATGGAATGCTGGAATATCGGGGCAGCTTCGCCATCGCGTCAGCCATCGCTGGGAACAGTAGCGCGGCGTAGCGCTGCTGCCAAATGAGTTCATGTCGGTGACTTCCTGGACTAGGTAATCGGCCAAAGGCCCGCAGCCTTTTTGCGGGCGACGCCAAGTTCGCAAACGCGGAAGCTCTTGGAACGTCGATTGTACGGCATAATTATTTCGCAACCTTCCAATCCCCCATTTGTCTTCTTCTGCCTTTTGATAGTTTGCGCTCTTCCCCGTGCTTCTTCTTGGTTTCTTCCTCCCACAACTTTCTCAAGCAGTCTGCTAATGTGTCCCAGTCAGAGTCGCTGCCGCTTGCGGCGCCAGATGATACATCCATGACGCGCTTGGGCCTGGGCTCGCATTGCTGATTGGTCAGGCGGCGGATGTACCAGCGCGTCGACATCTTCACGTGGTCATCGAGATTATCTGGTTCGAGCGTGCGCACAATGGCTTCTGAGTTCCCCAATTCATCCCAGGTTAGCTTTCGAATTTTTCTGAAATATACATGTGCCGCAGCGCGGCGTGTCGGCATAGTCTTCAACACATCCGATGCGAGTTTCAAGAGTCGTCCGCTTCCATGATCTACGTCTTTGCTATCAGTGACCAGCGCTGCGAGACCAACAGCCGACGTTAAACATTTACGTTCCACAGACTCCGTTGGAGACTTCCTTCGGGTCGACGGAAAATTGAGTCCAGCTAACAGGGGGTGGTTCAATCTGTTTGATGCAATACATTTGTGGTGCTGCAAAAGATCTGGGGCGTGCAATGCATTCCGTGGTGCAAATGTATTATTGTTGTTGTGTGCCATACATTTGTTGCTGCACAGTGCATCCAATTCTCTGGTTGCACTACATTTGCCCCACATCTATTGCACCGCCCCCCTTTCGCTGGACCTCCTTTTCCGTCAACCCGATTCCTGGGTGCCGCCTGTTCACCGCGGACTTCCAGGTCCTGCGCTGCAGAGCTCCGGGGGCATGACATAATGGGGGTAACGTCGTCATAGTTCCAGCTCTGCTGCTTCTTCATCCTGCTGAAACGTACTTCACTGGAGAAGCCGAAGTTGGCCCTGGCGATAAGGTCCTCGCCCGCAATGGAACGTTTGAGCACGTCCACGTTAATCCTGATGTGAGAAGAATTTGTCTTTCACTCTTTGATGCAAGGCCGTTTCTCGCGCAGGCCGAAGTGGGCGCTCTCCGCCACTCGGTGTCGCCAACGAAGATTGAAGGGTCGAGCGTCGCCGAGTTTTGCTTGCCAAAGAGTGGCGGCTCCAGGATATCGAAAGCGCCCTTGCCACCGCCGCCCCCTCCTATCGCCACCATCATGACGGGGGCGTGGATGCCAAAAAAAGCGCAGTACGTCGCTGCGCACGAGGTGGCGAAGCACCCCCCGTCGATCTAGTAGCAAAGGAATCAATGTAATCATGCACTACCTCCCGCACCTCGGATAATGAATGCTGGTGCCCACGGACCGCGGGGCAATCAGCCAGCGCCACGTTGGTCTTCTAGTACTTGAAGGGCACGCGGAAGTAGCAGTCATTATGTGGATCAGGTTCAAACTGGATCATCTTCGCATCCCTGTAACCGTCGTCGAAAACAAATCCCTGCGACGGGGGCTTCTGTGTTCAGCTTGGCAGCGAATGCCTTCCAGATCTCCGACTTCGACCCCCTGGTTGAATCCTGCTCATAATATTCTGGGAGGTTCGGCAAGATCTCGGCGAGCTTCGCTAAATTGTGGGCCATGTACCTTTTCCTTTTGGTCTGCCTCAATTTGCGATCCCAGCTTTGCTTCGCCTTCGGCCTGCATTCGCGTGAGAATTGTTCCAAAGAGGTGCCGAGGTGCGCGGACGTCGCCATGGCTTGTCGAAGCGCGGTGCCCCCGTGGCCCCAGCACCAGACAAGCCCCTTTCCGGGGCGAGCGAAAGGGGGCGGGGCGCAAGGGTAGCCGCGAAGCTATGTTTGAAACCAGTGCCAAAATCGTTGTTTCCCGATGAGGAACTTCGCCGGCACGAGAAACATATAAACTTCGCGACCACCATTCCCCCGCCCCGTTTTGCTCGTCGCCGACCTCTGGGACGTGTTCGGAAATCAAATACCACATGCCCTCTGCCATGTTCAGACTCGGCCGCATGTCGACAATCGAATATTCCCCGTTTTCCCATCAGCCCTTCAGATGATAGGGTGGTCATAGAAGTACAACTCACCATCGTGACTGCGATACACCTCTCTGCATCTCAGCAAACCAAACAAGAGCTTGTCAGTAATAGTTATCCTGTCAGACGTAATGGTACCGCCCCGTCCACCAGCTCTTTGATTATGCCAAAAGCTGCCAGCATATCTTCAAGAGCGGCACGCTTGGCCACCTTGGTCGGCGGGCCGTCGCTTGCGTTCGCCATCCCACTCGCATCGGTTGGCAGCAGCGAAGATACATCCTGCAATTGCCTCTGCGCTCGGGACCTTAGTGGCGGGCCCTCCACGACGGGCTCTTCATGCTTCTTCCCATCGTCATCACCACCATGATCACCAGGACCACCGCCATCGTGAACAGTAGCATCATCATCATCATCATCATCATCATCATCATCATCATCATCATCAACAGCATCATCATCATCACCATCATCATCCTCATCCTCATCCTCATCCTCATCATCATCATCATCAGCATCATCATCATCATCATCATCATCATCATCATCATCATCATCATCATCATCATCATCATCATCATCATCATCATCATCATTTCACCATTATCATTGGCACCATCAACCTAACCGCCTCCTCCTCCTCCTCCTGTTTCTCCTCCTCGTCCCTCCTCCTCTTCCCCCTCCTCCTCCTCCTCGCGACGGGAGCGGGAGAGCGGGACAGCGGGAGAGCGGGAGAGCGGGAGCGGGAGAGCGGGAGTGCGGGAGAGCGGGACAGCGGGGGAGCAGGAGAGCGGGAGAGCGGGAGAGCGGGAGAGCGGGAGAGCGGGAGAGCGGGAGAGTGGGAGAGCGGGAGAGCGGGAAAGCGGGAGAGCGGGAGAGAGGGAGCGCGGGAAAGCGGGAGGGCGGGAAAGGGGGGGGGGGCCGGAGAGCGGGAGAGCGGGAGAGCGGGAGAGCGGGAGAGCGGGAGAGCGAGGAGAGCGTAGCTGAGAGCGGGAGAGGGCGGGAGAGCGGGAGAGCGGGAGAGCGGGAGAGCGGGAAAGCGGGAGAGCGGGAGAGCGGGAAAGCGGGAGAGCGGGAGAGCGGGAGAGCGGGAGAGCGGGAGAGCGGGAGAGCGGGAGAGCGGGAGAGGGACAGGGAGTGGATCAGAGTGTTGTTTGCAATAGCCGGAGTCCGCCCCCTGGCCCCCCGGCCCCCCTGGCCCCCCTGGCCCCCCGTTCTCCCGCTCTCCCGCTCTCCCGCTCTCCCGCTTTCTTGCCCTCCCGCCCTCCCTCCCTCCCGCTCCCCGAGTGCTTCCGAGTGGAAGTCAAGGCCGCAATCCCGGGTGTTTCTCAGTGGAAGTCAAGGCCGCAAAGAAGCTCAGGTAAATCACAGGGGGTGGGGCGACCATCTATCTATATATGTATGTATATATATATATATATGTGTGTATATATACACACACGTAGCACCCCGCAGTTGCGGATAAGAGTGATGGGGGCGGCGGGGACGTCTGCAGTCTGCGAGGCTCTGAAGAAGCCTGCAGCAGACGCCTAATTCTTCCAAATTGTTCACCGGGCCTGCCGCAGGCGCCGACTTCTTCGTTAAAGCATTGTGAGTGGGTCGCGGGATGGGTCGCGGGTGAATCGCGGGTGGGTCGCAGGTGTGTCGCGGGACGTGTCGCGGGTGGGTCGCGGGTGGGTCGCGAATTGGTGGCGGGTGGGTCGCGGGTGTGTCGCGGGCGAGTCGCGGGCGGGTCGCTGGGGGGGTGTCGCGGGGGGGTGTCGCGGGGGGGTTGCGGGTGGGTCGCGGGGTGGGTCGCGGGTGGGTCGCGGGTGGGTCGCGGGCGGGTCGTGGGCGGGTCGCTGAAGGGGGTCGAGCGCCGATCCAAGAAATCCGTTCGGATCTCAGAAAATTCTTATCAATCTGTTTCTTGCTGGTCCAAGAGAACGCGGGGTGACATGCCTTGAACTGATCCTTGCCCCTAAGGTCGGCCTCCCCTTGCAAGGCGATGACATTCTTAGGGGTCTGCCTTCAGAAGCTGAGGGAGCCCTCAAGATCGGCACCGAGGCAAGGTCATGCCAAGCACAGGTTTAGGGAAATGCTTGCGATCGTTTTCTTAGTCGGCGCGGACCCTCGCACCCGTCCCCCCCCTCCCCCCCGATGGAGTAGATCTTGGCTGTTTTGGGCGCTTGTTTCAAGCAGGTGGACGGCCCCCCATAGGATTCCCCATGGGAGCATTTTTTTCACATTCGCACTGGGCAGAGTTCCGGAGCCAGATCCCCCTCCTTCCCCCCCCATTCCGCCCAATGTTGAAACGCCGATCATGAAATCGCTCACTCTGCCTCAAGCTGGTACAGGGGGGGCCCGGCAGTCAAACTCCGTGGCCGCTCGGGCTCACAGCGGCGGCGCGCCCGCGGCGCAAACCGCCGCCGGCCCGCCCCTGGGGCAGCGCGGGCAGCATGGCGGAGGGCCCAGCCCCCGCTGCCGCGGACCCGCCGCCCGGCGAAGCTGGGCCTGGCTCCGCGCCCAGGGAGGCTGCCGAGGACGGGGCCGTGCCGAGCGCCCTGAGATCCTGGCGACTCTTCTTTTTTTCGAGCCGGGCGGTTTCGCTCCATCTCGGGGCTCACGGGACCCTCAAGGATCGATGCGGCTCGAGAGACGAGGTCCAGGGGTCCAGTCGTGATTTGTTGCTATGTTGCAGTGTTTTTGCAAAGTCGGATCTCAGGGAGGGGTGTCGCTTCGATGAAATAGCGCGGCCAGTCTCTTACATATTTCCGGCTTCCGGCTTCCAAGGGCCCTCAAGGCTGGTGCAGGCGCCGGTCGGGTTACGACACTGGAGGGCGAGGCCTTTCCCAGAGGAGCAAGCCCAGAGATCCGACTCTCCGAAGAAATGGGAGCAGCCAGTTTGGGGCCGTTTTCGGCCTCCCATGGGGCCTTCAACGGGCCCCGGGGCCGTCTAAAAAACGAGGCAGGACAAAAAACTGGCCAAGTGGTCCAGACCTCCAGGGCCCACGCATCAGAAAAATGGGAGCGCTGAGTGTCTGGGAAGGGGTGTCGCCACGAGGGGTGTCACCACTTGGCGGCGAGCCAAGGGGGGAAGTCAGAGGGGGCTGGCCTTCTCAGATGGCTCGGGAGCCCTCCAGCCTTCTGAGAAGGTTCCTCAGCTTTCCTCGAAGACGCAGACAAGTTGTCAGAAGGCGCGAGGGCTTCTGAGAAGCCCCGCCGCCTTCTGAGAAGGCCTGCCCCCTCTACTACCCTGGTCATTGGATGCCAGAAGTTGTGTCTCAAATTCCGATTTAGGTCGCGACCGGTCTGCTTCAAAATCGGTCGCGACCGAAAACAAGTTGTATTCAATAGTTTGGGACCTGGGGGGTCACGCTGGGGCTGCTAGAGGGACTGGGGAGGTCAGAGGTGGATGCTAAGGTGGGTCATATCTGGCCTGACCTTGCCTATAAGTGGGTTACAAGTGTCCTGGGCATGGTCCATCCGCTAAGTGGGCCGCCCACTTAGACTTGATCTGATCCCACTGAACCACCGAGGGCACCTGCAAGCCACTTGTACTGGGTTCTGCCAGTCATCCTCCAACTTAGCATCCACTTCTAATCCCCCTTATGCCATGGCCACCCCCCGCGGTCGTTCCAGTAGGGGGGTCACCAGTTCCTCCCGAGGATCGAGCTCTTGAGGATCAAAGCTCGAGGAGGTTTCTGGACGTTTGGGGTCGTTTATGGGCGGAGTCCTGGCGTGTCCTCGGGACGCTGCCTCCGGCAAGCGGCGTCTCCTCGGGAGTCAAGCAGTGGCGAAGCGTCCTGGCTCGCCTATAGCCCTACCAAACGATGCTCTAAGAACCTGTTGTGGTTTCCACGAGATGCTCTTAGAATATTTTTGGCGGAGTCTGTCTTGTTTTATCACATCGGGTTTATGTTATAAGAACATTGTTTTTGTTCTCAGAACATTTGTGGGTTCTAAGAACATTTCGTGATAGGACTATAGGAATGCCGGGACGGTCGGTCCCTACTCAAGAGAGAGTGGCGGCCCCCCCTGGTCTGTAGTGGCCCCCTTGGCATGGCCCGGGCCGAGGGCAGCGCGGGCACGGACGACTGGGAGCTGCAGAAGGTCTCTCAGGAGGAGAAAAAACACAGACACAATCAATCGTCGATTCCCCAGACAATATGGGAAAATATGGGAAGTGGGGGGGAACGCAAAAGCCCAGAACATATGGGAAAATATGGCGAATCCTGTGTCCCAGGGCCCCTTCAGAGTTCTTGAGGATCAAAGCTCGAGGAGGTTTCTGGACGTTTGGGGTCGGTTGGGGCGGGGCCCTGGCGTGTCCTCGGGACGCTGCCTCCGGCAAGCGGCGTCTCCTCGGGAGAGTGGCGGCCCCCCCTTGAGCAGGGACCGACCGTCCCGGCATTCCTATAGTCCTACCACGAAATATTCTTAGAACCCAAGACAGCCCCGGCCAGAAATGTTCTAAGAACATTTCGTGAAAACCACAAAAGGTTCTTAGAACAGTGTTTGGTAGGGCTAGAGGCGAGCCAGGACGCTTCGCCACTGCTTGACCCCCTGGTCTGTGGTGGCCCCCTTGGCATGGCCCGGGCCGAGGGCACCGCGGGCACGGACGACTGGGAGCTGCAGAAGGTTTCTCAGGAGGAGAAAAATCACACAGACACAATCAATCGTCGATTCCCCAGACAATATGGGAAAATATGGGAAGTGGGGGGGGAAGCAAAAACCCAGAACATATGGGAAAATATGGCGAATCCTGTTATTTGTGTGTATTTATTTGTGTCCATTTGAGAGAAGGCCGCCCGCCCAACAGCGGCCGCTGTCGGTTTGGGACAACACTTGTTGTTGGGCATCGTACCCATTTTTTCCGTACCCATTTCGGGCGTCCAAACCCTGGTCTGTGGTGGCCCCCCTGGCATGGCCCGGGCCGAGGGCAGCGCGGGCACGGACGACTGGGAGCTGCAGAAGGTCCCGCCGCGGAGCCAACGGGCCCCGACCCAGACCTGCTCGCGTCCGCTTCCGGCGTCCAGGGGGCACGCGCCGGGCCCCAGAGGACACCCCGTCCACAAAGACTGCCCCGGCATCGCTCGGGCGTGTGCCTTTTCTTCTCGGCGAGAACCGTCGAGGACCATCGAGGACCATCGAGGATCTTTGTTTTCTCGGCGAGAGCCATCGAGGACCATCCTGGGCCATCGAGCCCCAAAAAATCACGCATGAAGCCGAAGAATGCACAGGGAATGGACGTCCGAGCGATGTCGAGCTGCTCGGGGCGGGAGACCGGGCCCTGGAAACATCGGTCGGGGCTTCGGAGAGCGCGCCTGGAGGAAGAGGAACATGTCAATCAAAGGTCTGGTGGCGGAGTGGTGGGAACGGGTTCGGAGCTGTGTCTTCGCTCGTGCCCCCCACGGCCCTCCGCGCGCCCCAGGACTGTCAGCAAGAGGCAGTTCGTCTTGAGACTCCGGCAGAAGTTTACTGCCATGGCGGGGGGGCGGGGGGGACGTAGCGAAACCCGAAAGGAACTCCGGACTGCGCGCAAGTCGGGACTCGCTTGAACGTCTTCTCGGCCCAGCGCTGTTCGAAAAGGCGGCGGAGGTGGGGCGGAGGGTGGGGTGGGTGGGTGCGCGTGTGGGGGGGGAAGTCCGGGTCCTCGGGAAAGTCCCCAGGGTCCAGGACTCGCTTTTGGACGGGGGTATAGGACGAGGGCAAATCCGCTCCTCAGCTTTCCCGAACGCTCTCGGAGCGTTCCGGCACGCTCTGGGACGGCCGCGGTGCCCGATAAATCCTCCAGAACCGCTGGTCTCAGAGATCTTCGGTCAGATTCATCCCTGTCCAGATCTATCCTCGCCCTGGCTTCGTCTTACCCCGGGGTCAAGGTCCCGCCCGTTGCCCTCGTCGCCCGCCTGGTCTCTGTTGCCCCGAGAGGTCGCGTACGAGGAGCAGGTCCGCGATCTGGCGGTGCGCCTCGCGCAGGAGCAGGCGGCGCGCGCCGAGGACGCGCGGAAGGCCGCCCGCGCCCTGAGGCAGGCCCGCGCGGAGCTGGAGGCGAAGGTCGAGGAGGTCCGGCGCCGCGGCGAGGCCGAGGTGTTGGGCGCGAATGCATGGCGGGGGGCGATCGGTGGGGGGGAAGGCAGGTGCTCTTCTCGGGCCCTGCAGGGCCCCCTTCTGGGGCCCTCAAGGGCCCCTCTTCTGCAGCCCTGGCTGCCCCCCCCCCTGAATCGCCCCCAGTAGTTCGCGCCCAAGGTGGCCGCGGCGAACGCCCGCGCCCGCGAGGCGGAGGATCCGAGGCGGGGATGCATCCACGGTTCTCGGGGGCATCGGCAGGTGTTGGGTACGGGCCCAGACCTCATTCGGTCACGGAGAAAAAAATCACGGCGGGAGGTTTTTCCTTATTTTCAGCATGTTGGGGTCCTCCGCAGGCCGCGGGACCGTCCAAAAGCGACTCAGGATGAAAAGCTCGCGCCCAGGAAGAGCAAATCATGACGTCGGGGGTCTGGGGATACGAGATGCATATGGTCGGACCGCGGTATAAGAACGAGGTAGGTTCTGGGAGGGTACCCTCATGTTCTTCGTGTTTGTTGGACGTTTGTGTGCATAATGGGGGAGGGAACCCTCGAATGCTCTTCATTCTGTGCGCGTGCGAGTGGCCTTTCGCCAGAATGACATTTTTGGTGCGGGCACACGTGGGGTGCCCCCCAGCACTGGCCTGCGCGCTTGGGTCTGGCGCCCCCGCGGCCCCCGGACGCCGCACACCAAAGGCCACTCCTGCCCAGGGTCACTCCTGCATGAAGGCGACAGGGGCCCGCCGACAGACCCCCGGCAAGAGGGGGCGGATCCGCCCACCGTATGTTCGGGCCCCGGGGGGGGGGGCAAGAGTATGAAGAGCAACCGCTTGCCGAGGCCCCCGAAGCTCGACCGCCAGGCGACGGCCGCGGATGATTCTTACCCGCCCCGCCGAGGAGATCGCCGAGGCCGCCCGGAAGCGCGTCGACGAGGATCGGCATTAACATAAATCGGCATTCACAGAACATAGCGGCGAGCGAGGGGGAGAAAAGAGAAGGAGAAGGCTTTCTCAGAAGGCGGTGGGATTTCTCAGAAGCCCTCGCTCAGAAGCCCTCGCGCCTTCTGAAATTTAGAATGCCGGGGGATTTCTGAGCCTTCTGAGAAACTTGGCCCTTCTCACTTCCCTTCCGGGCCCGCTGCCGAATAAGTGCTCGGAGGTCCGCGCGGATTTCTTGCATTGGCGTTGCACCATCCTGGCGGCGCCTCAGGCGCTACCCCTGGCACGCTCCGCGTGCACGCGCCAGGGAGGGGGCTCCAGCGCCGAGCCAAGAAATCCGAGCGGAGCTCCGAAAGTTCGAGACAGCTACTCCCCAGACCTCTCCGGGGGTGCGTTCCGACCAGGATTTCCGGGCAAATCCAGCCGTGGCGACGTGGGCCTCCCAGGAGATCCAAAAAGGCGCAAACGAGGCGCCGATCCAAGACGTGCTGATTCCCTTGGCAGCGCCTCAGGCGCTACCCCTGGCGCGCTCCGCGCGCCAGGGAGGGGGCTCCAGCGCCGATCCAAGACATCCGAGCGGAGCTCCGACATCTTGCAGTCAGGAACTTTGGCTTCATGTGTCGCGCCGCCGGTTCTGACCCACCACATCTGGGCGCCACACGCGATCCACGCCCCAGTCACCAAGTGGCAGTGTCTCGCGTTTTTCCCAGCCTGCCGCCCCGAGGAGCGGAGCGACACGCTGTCCGCTTGCAGGGCATTGCGTGTCGCCTCGGCCGCCGCGGCGACACGCGAAGCCAAAGTTCCCGATCGTCAGGGGGGACTGGGGCGCACGCTTCGTCGACACTCGACCTTCCCAGGGCGTCCCAAGAGTCCACTTGGGCCCCCAGGGCCCTCGAGGAACCAGGGATTTCCCTTGAACACCCGCCGCCCTGCCGGTCTATCGGCGATGTATTGCCAGTTCCAGGTCGACGTTCCCACCCACCTTGAGCCGGTCTCCCCTTCCAGTCGAAGTGGATCAGTAGGTCGACCCTGCCACATCGAGGGCACCCTCATGTCCTGTGTTTCGCGGCCAATGCCAACTGCACCCCCCATGGCTAGTGTGAAGGTCCGATTTTCCACCACCGCTACCATAGGTAGGAGAGGGAGGATGAGGAGGAGGAGGAGGAGGAGGAGGAGGAGGAGGAGGAGGAGGAGGAGGAGGAGGAGGAGGAGGAGGAGGAGAAGAGGGAGGAGGGGGAGGAGGAGGAGGAGGAGGAGGAGGAGGACGAGGAGGGAGGAGGAGGAGGAGGAGGAGGAGGAGGAGGAGGAGGAAGAGGGAGGAGGAGGAGGAGGAGGAGGAGGAGGAGGGAGGAGGAGAGAGGGAGGAGGAGGAGGAGGGAGGAGGAGGAGGAGGAGGAGGAGGAGGGAGGAGAGGGGAGGAGGGGAGGAGGAGGAGGAGGAGGAGGAGGAGGAGCAGGAGGACGAGGAGGAGGAGGAATAGGAGGAGGAGGAGGAGGAGGAGGAGGAGGAGGAGGAGGAGGAGGAGGAGGAGGAGGAGGAGGAGGAGGGGGAGGAGGGGGAGGAGGGGGAGGAGGAGGAGGGGAGGAGGAGGAGGAGAAGGAGGAGGAGGACGAGGAGGGATGAGGAGGAGGAGGAGGAGAAGAGGGGAGGAGGAGGAGGAGGAGGAGGAGGAGGAGGAGGAGGAGGAGGAGGAGGAGGAGGAGGAGGTGGAGGAGGAGGAGGAGGAGGAGGAGGAGGAGGAGAGGTAGGAGAGGGAGGAGAGGGAGGAGGGAGGAGGAGGAGGAGGAGGAGGAGGAGGAGGAGGAGGAGGAGAAGGAGATGCAGAAGAAGAAGGAGGATGAGGAAGAGGACTGCCCATCCCTCTCTCATCCACTCCCTTCTCCCCCGTCCTACATACGGCGATGGTGGATCATCGGCCTGCACCCTTCGGACGGCCTAAGGGTTCTCGGTGTCCTCTCGCGTGTCCTCGCCACTCAGAGCCCCCACTGCGCCGCTGCCCCCCGCAGCCGCAGGAGGTGGCCGCCGTGCGCCGCCAGGCGGAGGCCCGTGTCGCCGAGGCCCGGGGGCGGGCGGAGGCCCGGGTGGGCGAGCGCTCGGAGCAGTACCACGAGAGCGCGCGGCAGATGCGGGCCGCGCTGGAGGAGCGGCATGAGCGCGCCAATCGTCAAGACGTGGCGAGGCGTCCTGGCTCGCCTGTAGGCCCACCGAAGGCTGTGCTCTAAGAACCACTCGTGGTCTGCGCCACATGTTCTGAGAACATTTCTGGCTGGGAGTGCCCTTTTTTAGCACATCCGGCGTATCTTTTAAGAGCATTGCTTTTGTTTTCTACAACTTTGGGGTCCGAAGAACATGTCGTGGTAGACAGTCAGTCCCTGCTCAAAATCGGGAGCATATGCCAGTGGAAAAAAATACCCATACCGCTGCCCTTCCCTCGTTTTCTGGGCCTCCCAGGAGCCTCTTGCCGCCACCGCTGGATTCGCTTCGAAATTCTGGCCAGAGTGCACCCCGGGAAAGGTCTGGGGAGTAGCGGTATCGGTATCCGTTGGTTTCCCCAGTATGTCGCCGCGCCAGTTGTCCCGACGCGCGGCCTTGCGTCTTGGGGAGGGCGCCGCGGGCACCAGGGCAAACTCTGCGTCGGGCGCAGAGTGTGGCGTTGGCTTGCCACGGTGCTGGCCTTGCATACTTGGGCGCTTTCAGAACACACGGCGCGGCGACATACCCTGAACCCTATGCTTGGCATCACTCGATCTCGATACCGATCTTGAGGATTCCCTCGGTTTCTGACTGTGCATCCCTGAGACAGTCATTGCATTTGGGCTGTCAATCTTAGGGACAGGCCTAATATCTAGGCTGGTTTATCGAAGTGGGTGCGGGCACCGAGGGAAGGAGCACGGGGGCCATGGCCAATGTGCTGCGCGATACTGTCGATGTCGATCTTTGTCATGGTCCGTGCCGGCCGTCGCCGATTCGTGAAGCTGGCCAACGAATTGCCGCTGACCTCGATCAACGGGGACCAAGATCGAAATGACGGTTCCGCGTTCAGTCTTGGTCATGCTCCCCAGGTCCTACCAGTCCAGGCAAGAGTGGCTCCAGCCCGGCAGGTAGGTCAGTTGTCGCGCCGAGGCCGCGGCGACCCCAGCGCTGGCGTTCGAGGTGGAGCGCCGCCTGTGGCACCGAATCAGCCGGCGTCGATCGGGCCGCGCCATCGGGAAGCCCCGATCGTTCAAGTTTGAAGGATCCACGCGGTGTCGGAGACCAGCGTGCAAGTCGTCACGACAGGGATTTTGCCGCAGCAGATCACGAGAGCCTGGCGTGTCCTCGCAAGTCCGTGTTTCGAGTGCATTTTAGCGTGCGCCAGCGTATGGCGGTCGACGAGACAGCACCGATCCAGCGTCGGCTAGCGTCGATGAGCGTCGACGTGTTGTCGACTAGTGTCGGTTCGTGTCGGCTCGCAGAAGTCAACCTCATGGCATGGCAGGCGCCCATGAGTTGCTTCAGGAGGAGAGAGGTGGCACGCAGACCGACAGAAATCCTTGCTCATTTCGAACAGGGCTCGCCGTCGGCATCGCTGCGGACCTTGTCCATTTGAGACAGAAGGCCGCCTTGGGCCTCCCGTGGCTCTCTTGGGCGCTCTGGCCGGCTTCTTGGCATACTTTCGGACCATCATGTGCCCTGGCTCACCAGCGACCGATGTCGGTTTTCGACGAGGCTTGCTGTTGAGCATCGCACCCATTTTTCCGTACCCATCCTGGCCGTCCAAAGAGGAGCGGCAGAGGGCGTCTGCGCAGGAGGTGGAGCTGGAGAGGCGACGGAAGGACTCGGTCGGGAAAAAGACCTTGATGATATCCCTTCGTCAGGGTTTGTCGACTTTTGCTAACGGCTCCTAATATTCTCCCGGAGGGTTTCCAGCTTCTGGATGCTCTCCAGCAGTTGCGCTTTGCCGAGGGCGTTCCAGGGGTGCCCTAATCGTCCCGACCCGCCGCCAAAGAACCGAGGGATGGCCCGAAAGCTATCGTTCCTTCACGGAACAATGACGACGGACTTTGCTTTCCATGTTTCCCATTTTCGGTCGTTGGGACCGTTCGCAGGGCCTTGGGACCGTCAGCAAAAACGACTCAGGCTAAATAGCTGGTCTTGCGAACCACATCACGTTGCAGGTGATCTGGGTACCAATCGCACGCCACCATTGGGAGCCCGTCAGCCTGTCACTTCTTAGTTTTTGTCTGGAGGTTGGGTGTCTGTCTGGCAGTGACACGCTGATCGTTTCCCCACCACGACCTGTAATTGATGTTGTGTTTGTTTTTCTCTCCGAAGGAGGTGGCAGTGGACGAGATGAGTCGGCACATCGAGGCGATCGAGCGCGAGTGTGAAGAGCAGCGCGCTATGCAGGAGGCGAACTTTTCGGTCAAGCAGGCGCGTCTTGATGAGTGGCGGGCTAAGCAGAAGAGGCAGAACGACGAGGCTACGCAGCGCAACCAGACGCTGCTGGAGCTCGAGAAGTCGCTTCACACTCGCTCTCTGGAGCGGACGATGGGCCGCATTGCAAGGCACATGGCCTTCGGCGACGGCGACGTTCGAGGCGACGAGACCCCGACGCGACAGGTCTTGCAGCGCGCCGTGCTGGACGACGTGCCGTGGATGCCCGAGACGCCGCGCACTGGGCGGCGGCACTTTGGGCTCGTCGGCGAAGCCGTGGTGGACGGCCCCGCCAGGTGAGGCGGCCCCAGGCCGCCCCCCCCGCCCCCCCCGCCCCCTCCCAGCACCGACGGCGGCATGATCGGCCGCACCGTGGCCAAAGGCCCGTGGCCAGGAGGAGGGGTCGGACGGCGGCAGCGGTTGATCATGATCGGGGAGGGCACAGTGTGAGCACCGGGATACTAGAGGTCCTGCCTCCCACCCGCCCCGTCCTCTCCTGGGGCGGGGAACCGCGCTCCCGGCGGCGAGAGATTCACTAGTCTTCCTCCCGTGGATTGTCGTCGTTTGTTGGTCGTCGTCATCGTCGTCAGCCGACGGCCGTCGTCATTCGTTGTCGTCGTCGTCGGTTCGCCGTCGCGCTATTCTTCGCCCGACGTCGCCAGCGATCTTGGTCCGCCGAAGCATGTTTTATTCTTCGCCCCAAGGAAGCTTTGTTATTCTTGAGCTCACATTATCCATGTCCACGCCCTCGCGGTCTGGATTCCAGGGCGCAGTCCCGCGCAAACGTGGTCGCAAAGATGCATGTTCCGCGCGGGGCGTCCGCGACGAAAGGCCCCATTTCCATAGGGTCGTGGCCAAGTGGGCCCGGCCCGTGAGGCCGCGGATAGACATAGAGTAGGCAGATCAAATAACGAATCAGCCTGCCAGCAGGTGCCCCACGGTAATGGCCCACACGAGCCTCGTGGCAGCTCGGTCAGCTCAACATTATGCAAGCGTGTACGAGGATCTCTTGTAGCAAGATTGTGAAGTCCTTATGGCTTGCGCCGCCGATCCTGAAGGCGGGGCCTCCGCGGGACCCCCCCTGGCGCCCCTGCTGGGACCCGCCTGGACCCCGGGCCGGGACCACCCTCCCCCACCACAGGAAGGACCTCCCCCATGACCCCCCTCCAGGACTCCTCCCCAGCATGCCCCCCCCCCGTGTCCTTCCTTCCTGTCCACAGGGGGGACTGGGGAGAGGAGCGGTAATCTGACCCCCCTTCTCCCCCCCCCCCGTACCCCCACCGTCAGGGAGTGGAAAAGGGGATGGTATCGATTGAGCTACGAAGTTTCTTTTCTTCTCTCCGTTTCTAGATTTCCTTGTGACTGGTGGCGACGACGACGACGACGAAGACGACAATAGCGTCTCACACACGCCGAAGGGTTGGCAGATTTCTTACCGTATGTGTCTACTGTATGTTTTCAGCCCACGAGTTGATGGATGAGGGCCAGCACGACGACGACGACGACGACGACAATGGGCCGCGACGACAATGGGCCGCGTGGGCAATTCGCGCCTAAACTTGGCGCCGTCTGGTTGCCGACGCGCCCGTGTGTGACCCCTGCGATCTTGGCGGACAAAAGAAAGGGAGAAGAGAGGCACACACACACGCACACACTCACGTACGCACACCATGTAGAATATGTTTGGTTGAAGCTGTTGGAATGTTTTCGCATGCTCGCCATGTCGGTCTTCGGCGCGTCCGAGACGACCCAAGAGACCCCCAAGATCGCCCGAGCAGCCCAAGACGGCCCGAAAGGACCCCAAGAAGGGCCCAATGAGGGAGGGCCAGCACGGCCCAAGAGAACCCTGATACGCCCCAAGAGGGCCCACAGAGGCCCTCAAGCCGTCCCTTCCATTTTTTTTTTTTTTTTTTGTTCTCTCTCTCTCTCTCGTTTCCTCCCCCCCCTGCTATCCTATCCTATCCTGTCCTCCTCCTCCTCCTCCTCCTCCTCCTCCTCCTCCTCCTCCCTCCTCCCCCCTGCTCTCGCCGGAGAAGGGGGCGACGTCTGAGGCGCCGCCCCGGACCGTGGCGCTCGGAGGCACCGCGTCCCCCTCTGCAGGGAGCGGCGCCCGAAGCCCGCCCTCGGCCTCCTCTTGCCCCCTCTCCGCCAGCAAGGCCTCCTCCTCCTTCTCCTTCTCTCCTCCTCCTCCTCCTCCTCCTCCTCCTCCTCCTCCTCCTCCTCCTCCGCCCCCTCTCCGCCAGCAAGGCCGCTCAAGGGGGTCGGTGGCGGGCGGGACGGGCACAAACGCCTTGGCATCGCTCGGACGTGTGCATTTTTCCTCCGGCGAGGACCATCGAGAAGCATCCTTGATCTTCCGGCGAAAAAACCACGCACGAAACCGAAAAAAACACTGGGAATGGACGTCCGAGCGATGGCGAGACGCGCACAGGAGGGATCGGGCTTGGGGGGGGGGAGCGCCGCCGCGACATGTCGGTCGGGCGCAGCAGGCGGGTAGCGAGCGGGGCGCGGGCGGCAGGGAGGAAGTCGCAGGCGCACGGGTGCGACGCTGGGCGCCAGCAGGGCAGCGCGGGCAATGGCCAGCTCATGAACAATGGCCACACCGGGAGTCATTAGGGGGGGGAAGGACGTGAGCTGCTTGCCCCTGTGGGGGTACCCGCCTATGGGCTGCGCGCCCTTCGTGCGGATCGCCCCGTGGGGGGCAGCGCGGAGTTCGCCCGAGTGGCCCCGGGCCGCACGGGCTGTCTTCAGATTCATATCGCTGGTGTAATGCGACGCCCAGGAGCGTGCACGGCGCGGTCCTGAGTGTGAGTTGATTGCTGCCCAGGGCCAACTGAACTGAACTTGTCCTCCTCCTCCTCCTCCTCCGCCTCCTCCTCTTCCTCCTCCCTCCTCCTCTTCCACACCTGCACATCGTGAGTAAGATGGTCGGCCCTCTCCGCGTGTCGTTTGCACACAGGATTTGAACAGTTTGTTTTCCTCATGTTTTTTCATTCTGATTGGCAGCGGTGTTTCAAATTGTCGCTCCCGCTGAAGCGTGGGACTCATCTTCGGATTGGCGCTGTGCTCCCGTCTGTCAGAATGGCTCTCTCGCCCCAGCGTCGGCGACTGTTCTGGATCCGAGTCCGTTTTCATCACTGTAGCCCTTCTCAGTTCCACTCCTCCGCCTTTCCCTGGTCCTCCTGTTCGTCCCGCTTCTTCCACTCCAGTTCCTGTTGCTGCCGTTCGTCCTCGTCATCATCCTTCCACATCCTACTCCTACTCCTCCTGCGCATCCTCCTGCTCACCCACAACCTCCACCTCCACCTCCTCCTCCTCCTCCTCCTCCTCCTCCTCCTCCTCCTCTTCCCCCTCCTCCTCGTCCCATGCACGCAGCTCCCCTTTCCCGGTTGCGCACGACCCGATGGGGCCTTTCTGTTGCAGTTCCAGGCCGGCTGTGACCCTCGCCCGCAGAAGGAACACGAGATCAGCGCCATGGGAAGGGAAGGGATGGGAGGGACAGGACGTCAGAGGAGGCGCGAGCCTACCCAGCGTCTTTCCCCCCCTCCCCCCCTCTCCTCCCCCCGCCCCTGGGAGCCAGCTTGCCGGCGATCCGGGCGCCCCCCGCCGCGCGGAGGGCGGATCCTCGCCGCCCCTCCTCGCGGAGGCCCTCCGCGGCGGCGGCGGCAGGCCGTGGCACCCTGCGGCAGCCGCCGCCCGCGGCGAATGCACGGCACGGCGCCGTGGCCCCTCGAGAGCGCTTCTTCGTTCCTGGGCGATGACGGGTGGCTTACCGGGGGGGCCTCGGGGGCGGCCAAGAGGGGGGTGATGACCAGGGGGGGGGGGCATCATGGCCTGGCGGGGGCCATGAGATCTCCCCAGATTTCATGGCGCCTCGTCTTGTTTCAATACGTCCCCGGTCCCCCCCGCTGGCCACGATTTGCACCCCCCCCCCCTTGGATGCCCCCCTCTTTGGCCGCCCCCGAGGGACAGGGGGGCCGAGGCCAGCAACGTCACGTTTCGCGCCAGCTCAGCCACGCGCAAAGGGGGGTGGGGGGAGGGGGGAGGGCTTCTTAGAAGCACCCCTGCTTCTTGGAAGGCCCGGGCCTTTTCTATAGATATAAGGCTGGCGCCTTCTAAGAAGCAGCCTCCTTCTAAGCAGCCCTCACCCCTCCCTATCCGCCCCCGGGCCCTTGTGCGCGCCGCCAACCAGGGCCGCCCGGGGACGTTTAGGAGTATCCGAAGCCAGCTCGGAGTTCAGCACGATTCGTGACGTTACCCGGGGGGGGGAGGGGAGGCGGCCGGGGCTGGCAACGGCCGCTATCGCGAACAATAAAAAACGCTTTCCTTTCGCAGCACCATTGCCATCACCAGTTGGCGTGCCGGCACAGTGGGGACGCGCGTCAAGAAGCCGGTTGCTCTTCGTCGTGGTGCTGTTGGCTTCGTCGCTCCGCACGCTGCGCGGTGGCTCCCCACGGCCGTCGGGGAAGCTGCCGCGCTCAGGGTGTCGCAGGTTCTCCCCCGGCTGCACGGCTCGTGTGAGTTGTCAGGGTTGGGTTTCTCGCTCGGGTTTCTTGTGGCCGCGTCCGCGCTGTTGGGCGGGCGGTTCGCTGGAGCCTCCCTCACTGGTTCTGATTATGACGCCTGACATTTCCAGCAGCGTCACGGATGGAAGGCGGATGGTTGTGGTGTGCGGATTGTGATTATCGACAAAACGCCGCGCACATTCGTCGCACAGCTTCCCGACAGCTACACGGCTGGAGGGTGGGTGACTTTGAATGTGCGGCTCTCGCCCCAGCGCCGCGCGCATTCGTCCTAAAAAGCTTTCCCAGCAATTGCAAGGATGGAGGGCGGCTCGTTCCCAAATGGGGGCCATCACTCGAGACCTCGGGCATCTTGCCAGAACGGTGAACTTCGAGCACAGTTCGAGCAAATCCTCTTCGACATGGGGCTCTCGCGTGAAACGTGAAACTTTCCGTGGTTTCTGTGTTGTTTGTTGTTTTTTTTCTGATGGTGTACCACAGGGGCCCGGTCGGCGTCTTCTCTGTCTCATCGCGCATGCCCTTCAGTGTGGGAGGCATCGACCACGTGGCGGGCAAGAAAACCTACAACGCATATTGGTTCTTATGTTAGCGCAAGCGTCGTGCCGACGGCCCTCGGCGCCGATTGCGTTGCGCCCGCGGCACGGCCGTCCGCTCAAGCGGCCTCGTCGGTGGGCGCTGCCGCCGACCCCGAGGCCTGATCGCCCGTTCAAGCAAGCGCCCGAGCTCGGTCTCAAGGTGAGGGCATCCTAGAATGCGGATGCCCTTTCTCACCGCAAA